TGTGATTCTTTAAGTGTCAAGGAAAGGGAAAAAAAGTAGAATTTAACTGAAAATTGATACCTTTTAGCCTTTGCTGTGGACTCCTAAAATTTTATGAGAGAACATTTGAGTTATTTTTTTAGCACCACTTTTACTTCAGAAAGTTGTGTAATCTTTTATCTTTGAATGACTAGTTCTTGTAGTTTAACTCTGTGTATGTGACAGCTGTCATAGTTATGTACATTGGGTTATTTTGTTTATAAATTCTGCTATCGTTGCTGCTGCCTGTAACAGAAAACCTCAGGTGCTTTCCCTCTGAAAATATTCTGTTCACTTGTTTATAATGGACTGGCATATACAAAAGAATAATAACTTTGTATAAGTAACATATTTTTGCAGGTTTATTTCTGTTTTGATTTTTTACAAAAGTTTTTAACAAAGCCATTTAGTTTGTTTTCATCTTGTTCTGTTGTAATTTTTAAATCTTGTTTTCTTGCAATAATTAGCAATAATTATAATATCTTAAAATGTTCTTCTTAGTCATCATTATCTACGGTATTTAAAATAGCTTCTAGATTTGAGACCCATTTCTTTTCTCTTGGTCCTGCTCTTTTCAGTGTTGAGGAATATTTTTATCACCATTAAACTCAGTGAAACTCATTTGACTTTGCATAGTAGATGCCTGAAAACTGAGTAGTCTGCCAGGGCACATGGAGTAAATGCTGGATTATTTTCTTTTATGATCTTATAAATTATCATTAAAATGTGAACTCAGAATTATTAGGTTCTTTTAAAGCAAGATAGTTAATGATGTCTGGATATGAGTCCTCCATTCTGTTGATGTCTCGCATATCACTTTTAAGCTGTGTGATGGCTGCCAGTGGGAGGCTCCATAACACTGATATTAACTAAAAACTTGTATGTCAAATATTGTGTGCAGTTTCAGTATAAGAGCCATATTAATGTACATGATTCCAAGGAAAATGGTGTTCTTTTCATTGATACTCAGTAAAACTCACACATTGGACTAAAGTCTTTTCAAGTAAAATGACGGAAACTAACATAGACTCTTGGATTGTTAGTTTTTGTTTGTTTTTCTAATTACAAGGATGCACATACTCTCTTATCATGATCTCAAACAGGAAATGGCAATACAGTATTTCATAGAGATTTTTAAAAGCCCAGTTTTTCAGTGTAGTTGTATGAATATGAAAGCTTTCTGATCCTAGTGGTGTTCAGCCTCTTGAAGGCTCAGATCAAGTGTAATAGTGGCTTCATAATTTACAGTGTGGTACACATTGTTATCATTATACATCATTATATTGATTCAGCATTGCTGGATTCTAGGATTCGGTTCTTTAGTTTTGAGCATAAATTTTATAAGGAGCACATCACCCCATTGGAAAAGAGGACAAGCTTACTTCAAGTTATCAAATTTAAGAAGACCCCCAAATTAAGTGTAGCTGTATTAAGTCCCCAGTTTAGCAAAGTATTTAATTGTGTACGTAAGGCAAGCATAAGTCTAACCACTTTGGTGAATATGAATTATTGCATAAAAAACAATAGCATGGAATAGGATCAAGGTGAAAACCTTTCATGTTCTTAAAACATGAGGATTTTTATGGATGTATTTCTTCTTCCTCTAGAGCAGTGGTTCTCAATGTTTTTAGACTCACGGCACCTCTCAGAAAATGCCAACTCTTAATTTTCACTTGTCTCTTGACTACAGAAAAATAATAAACTATTTCTTGTATTGCAAAGAACTCCAAAAGACCGCAGCAGGGCAGAATGTTTTTTAACTTTATGAATTCCAATTAGAAATCTTTGCTTTCTCTATAACTAGAAATATCTTATGAATCATCTAACAGTGATAACATTGCAAGGCGCTCTGCAGCACCCGTGAAAGGACCTCAAGGCACCCTAGTGTGCTGTAGCACCCTGATTGAAAATCAGTTCTACAGCTTAACTGTATTATATCACATTATTATATTTTATTTCCGAACAATAAGGTTTTCTGTATTACTATGTTACTCTTTTTAAATTTAAAATAAATAGAATTATCAACCATGCACTGTGTTTCTTTTGGCTTTTTTTTTTTCAATTAAGTAGTATCAAAGGTATATCAAATGATAGAAGGAGGGGCACAGAAGTCTGGGATAACAATATGTGATGTATGTACTAATTCTTTAAGTTATTTATTAGTAATCACTTCATTCTTTTTCTCTTTTGCAATATCCTTTAAGCTAACTCTTCAAAGGAAAGGGCATGCAAAATTTACCATTCCTTCAGGCTCATCCTTTGTGTCTCCCAAATAAGGAAATGGCCAGATACAACAGAAGCATTTGTCAATTGAAATTTATTTAAACGAATAATTAAAGGACGACTCTGCAGAGTTTTTAAATTAAAATCTTTTTATAGTGACAGCTTTAGAAAACACTAATTTCAGTGTGGGAATTCTTTTTTGTCCCCGTTTTTTTTCACTTAGAGCCTGAGCTACCCAGCAGTTTCATTGGTTAGGAGAGACTTTGATTGGTATAACTTAAGACAGTCACTCTTGTCAAATATTACTCTTTTCATAAAATATTGATCATGTCTACTTGTATAGCATTTATGTGGATTGCAATAAATCCCTCATTTATTGTTAGCTTTAATTGCATCCCTATATGTTCAGATAGTTCTAGAACTCTATACAAAGTAAAAAATAGATCCAGTAAAGTTTGTAGAATGGACAAGTGTATTTTAAAATTATTTTTAATTAAAATTAAATAACAAGTAGTAGTTTATTAGTAATACTGGTAATGGGAACTACCTTGCACACACACACTTGTATATAAATTTGAAGAAAAATTGAAGTAGATTAAAGGATACAAACATATGAAATTCCATTATAATAAAAGAAATTAGCTTTTTAAGTATGTCACAGTTTAGCACAACAATAATGCAATTGTAGGTTTTTTTCTCTTACAATTATCTTGCTTAAGGTACTTCATAATATTTCTGGTCTCCTCAAGGCATACTGTATTGTTTCACAATTCAAAGAGGGAATAAATATTCTTTTTGTGAATATGGGATTATACCCTTTACATGTTTGTGATGATATAAATTACATTTCTTCCCCATATCAGTAATCGCATTAATTCTTTAAGATGGGAAATTTTTCATTACAATGGTCCCTGTGGTAGTTACTATAGAAAGAAATTAAATAGTTTTTTGGGTAAATATTTGTGGATTAATTTAGTATGTTAGGTAGGTGTCTGAACACTTTAAAAGGTGGGAAATTAAAATACATACATACAACTAGGAGTGGTTTTATGATGTTAAAACCTATCAAATAAAAAGAAACTATCTAAAAGAGAATGGTTGAACTACTAAGTAATTGTGCCTAGAGTATATGTAAGTATACCCTTGCAGTGTCATATTGCAAATGAATTCATGAAATGAAAATACTGATTACATTAACATACAGTATTGTGATAGTATCTATTTGTAAATTGCAGTATGTAACCTTTAATACAAATATTTGTGTCAATCAAAATTGACCGATGCTTTAGATTGCACTATTATACAGTGTTTTAAAAAATAATAATTGTTTTTAATAAATAAGGTAAAACTGGGCAGATAAGGGGAAAAGCTGAATTAGTTTATTATCACTATTACATGAAAGAGAGAGATTAGATTGTCTCTGAAAATATAAAAAGAAAGTTTTCAGTTTTCTGTACGAGAATACGGACTTTTTGGAGGTCTGGAATACCTTT